AGGCGCCATCACCTCTTCAGGGACAGGCCGTAATGAGCATTTTACAGGAAATAATGGTAATTCCTACAGTCAGGGACCAATCCCATAAACCAAACCTTCCCAAACAGATGTTTGACTAATTTTTGGTTCAGTTTTATAAAAAGAAACGTTGGCGAACACTCTTGAACACCCCATTGGTAAAAATAATATAGCAAACTAAAAACGCCGATATATACAGGAATTTTGACGAAACAAGTCGAAATAAATAAAATTACTGACAAATAGGAACTGGAATGTTTATAATATGCAGACTCTGCGGGTGGAGGATCCAACGCTTCTCTTGAGAGAGGATCTCCCTGTGTCCAGTCTTGCCCCTGTCACATGTAGTTTGTGACGATGTCCTTTCTAACATAGTTTTATACGACTTTCAATCGTGTATTCCGTTTTTCACCTACGCCAGCAATCCCAAACTTTAGGCAGAGAAGACTTGAAGGCTGAGCCCAGGTAATTTATGCAACTGAAGACTTTATGAGTTTGATCTGGGGTTCATCCCGTGAGTACCCTCCGTGTGTGTAGCTCCAAACGCTCTGGTCTGGCGTCTTGACTAAATATGGGCCCTCGTTTGCACCGCTTTGACCTATAAATCGAGAGCCAAGAACTGCAGATAACAGCGGTGTCCACTGGAATAATATTTCCAATTTAGATTTTGTCGTCACCCATTGAAAGAGAAAGCCTGCCGACAGAATTAAAAGAGCATGGGATAGCCGTTTCTTATTCAGTAGCCGTAGGTAGACACTTATTGTCCCATCCCACGTCTTGATAACGGGAGATACGGGCTCTGATTCTTTGGCCTTTTAACGCTTAGTACTACCGATCCACTGCCCTCTCAGAAATCATCAGGAGTAGTAACGAGCTAGTGTGTTTGGGTATGGCTAGCGATATGGCTGGTTAGGACTAATTAGTCAGAAATGGCCGCCACATTCTCCTTCACCCTTTATTCGGCAATATTAGCGGCCTCTAGGCGGCTGCCGGTAAGGTCTATAGATTGGGCTTTGAGGAGAAACGCGACAAATATGTTTAGTACACTAAACAGATCGTTAATCGACCCTCTCTTTCTCTCGACCCTGTTATATATCGTGAAATCTAATAATTCTGGAAACGTACGGAAAATGATGTGAGGCAGAACTAGCTTTACGACCTCTCAACTGCAATTTTTTTTAAATTCACTCCTATCAAACAAGGCTAGCGCAGAAATGTTTTGATTTGTCCCGTGGTTATCTTAGGACATGGTGCGAAGCGAGTCCGCGAAGGAAGACAATCGCAATGGAGCAGGTTTGTCACTGGCCCTGGATCAACTTTCTGCCGAAATTTCAGCCCTCGAGAACTCAGCCAACCTGGGCGAACGTATACACACCTCCCTGGAGGCATCTTTGCAGCACTTGCGCAATGAGATCAGCGAACTCCTGGATATGTGGGAGTTCCAGGTGAGTACGAGATAAAGACGACTAACAGGTGGTTTTGCACTGGAAGGACGTGGCAAAAATCGAATACAATTTTAAACATGATAGGATTCGTTCCGGACATGGATGCGAGTAATGCCGCTTGGCTCTCTCCTCCTGTTGCGGCACCCATTCCAGTGCACTATCCGGTGACCCTGTAGAGATTTTGGGACAACCAATCACAGGCACCCCCAAACTACTATTGGCCAATCAAGCGGCCAGTGAATCACTTTCGCATTCAGTTTATAGATTCACGCCAACACCACGCTAGCGGATAGACTTGCGCGCATGCCCAGAGCTTGCCGTGCGTCGATGGTACCTGATCACGATTGAGATTTTCTACAAAAAACATGAGTCATACTAATCTATCTCCCGCTCTGAGTACAATTCCTGCTTCGAACTCCAACAACTTTCCCTATGTAATGTTGGATTGTAAATGCTCCTGCGTATTGCGACCTATCTACATAACTTGCATTGCTGCTTGCACTTTTAACTGGTACATCTGAGTTGGTGTTCCCCACCGTCAATCCGGCATTATGTAAGTCAATAATCCGTAGATCAGTCTTTTATAATCTTGTGTGAGCAACTGCGTCGATACTTGTTATGTCCCCTAGTTGCATGTTAGGAAGATTTTGGCAGAACAGGATAGCAGGGAATGGTTTACTATAACCGTTCTTGCTTGTACATCAACTCTGACTTCTGTGTGTCCCACAGTTTGGTCTCTATCCGTCAGCA